CTATGCCCGCGTTTTTTTCCTCGTAAAGTCCTAGTAATGTTACTACGACTTTACGAGGAAATTGTTTTCTCGTAAGTATACGAGAACCTTACGAGGAAACATGGTTTCCTCGTAAACTCGAAGTAAACTCGTAGTAATTTTACGAGGAATTATTTTCCTAGTAAAGTTTCCTAGTAAATGCTTAGTTTTCTTGTAGTGACTGATCTGGAATTATTATAATCATTTTAATATGCTATAGACATAATCAGTCACATTTGATATTTCAAAATACTAACTTATCAATTAGGTTACGTTGTGTTTGCATTAATGGTTAGTTCCGTATTTTATATTAACCACATTTATTAATCTTATCTCGTCGTTTGGCTTTGTTCCTTTCCATCATTACAACATCAAGATTTTATATTTATTTTGTAAGGCTCTGTCTGAATATAGATAACAAATTGTATCTATCTACGTTGGAAAGATGCGTTTGGGAGCCCATAGTAAAGGATAGAGACATGGCCTTTTGGATGATATCTGAATAGAAATAATTAGAAAGTCAAGTTGCCTAAACTTATCCCTCCACTCATTGGATCGGTAGCAAACGGTGTCGTTTCTATCGTCTCGAGGCATTTGTGGATAGCCGCTTTATTGGTGACACGTGGCCATCGACTAGAAGCTCGAACCATCAGGTGGACACATCTTTCCTCTTATCATCCAGTTATTTACACTATTACCCCTGTAGGTGATCTTTCTTTACTTGCACTAGAAGAAAAAGAGTTATCAAACTAAACGGCTGAGCTATGATTATGAATCTAATTAAGTCAAGAGTCATGACACGGTTTAAAATTTCTGATTGAATTGATGACCTTTTCTCCTATCTCAATGTTGGGATTCATACCGGTTTATAACGATTTATAAGACAACCTATGAATTTTATTAGCCTAGAATCTCATGTCAATACTGAAATAAATCTAGATCTTAGGGTTTCGCATATACCTGGATGTTATTCGCAGCGGAAAGATGAATGAAACAAACCAAGGTTATTAGCACTCCAAACGTCGTGCCTCTATCGGTATCCACACGCACACAAACTGGATCGAAACGGGATGCTAGTACCGTCGAGATCAAATCTCACAGAACAAACTATTTTGTCTTATTGTTTTGAGTTATGCGGCTGATGCATTAACCCTTATGTCTCACGTACTCATTATATAATGAGATTACCAAACCATGCGACCATTAGGGTTAGTTACTCTAATTTATGGGCTAAGCCCAATAATTAAAGTCATCACTTTACGTGTATGGTTACATCGTATGCAGCCATATTATTATGTTAATAATACCACGTAGATATAACAAAGCTTATATCACTATTTCCGAACTCAATTGATTATTGATCTAGTTTGCTTAGGTGTGTGACCCTATAGGATCATATAAAATTAGTAATAGATTCTTAATCCATAGATTATAAGCGGTTTCTAGCAAAACATTATAACCACCTAATTTTATATGATTGTCAAACCTTGACGTTACGACTTTAACAAGAATAAGTACGAATGATTTTAGGACATTCCTAACAATCTCCCACTTGTACTAGAATCATCTATTCTCATAATCCCTTTGTCTCCATATCTCGATCTCAGCATAAGGCAAGAACTAGTGTCATCCTTATTAAGCTAGATCATGTTTATCGAACTCTGATTTATACTGATTAAACAAACGACTGACATTCACCTCGTTTGAGCATGGCCATGCATTTCTCAGTATCAAATCTTCGATAGGCCCAGAGATATTTATCTCCCGTTATATGGGAGGGACAAATCCCATCTTGTTCCATCCATGTTCTTTACAAACTTCAT